ACAATCATTTTTTCAAAATTTTTAGTAAGATTTGCACTTTTTCCTTTTGCACTCATGAATAATTAAATGTACTCTGTCACCGGGTTCTGAGTAACGAGCAACGAGGACTGACTGCCCTTGTGTATCCACGCCGCCGAGCGCCCTCCGAGGGCGCTCGTTGGAGGAGCGCGCTTTGGAGTGTAACGTATTAGCCAGCGTGCCTCATGGCATCTATTTGGGGACGCTTGGTTGCGGATTAGTCTCGCCACAGGAAGAAGGGTTTTTCCGTAAAGGGAAGAACGCGGAGACGGGAGACACAAGGCTTTGGGTGTCTTCCGGCTTATAGAAGCTTTTCACTGTTATAACAAGCGAGGGGGTGGCGTGACGTAGTAGGTCACGTGGGCCTCGCCTATATAACTGAGTGTACAGAGCCAGTAGGGAGGTTCTGGAGACGGTGGGAGAACCTCGTGCGTGTGCACAAAACTTGGCGCCACGACGGTGCATATGCGAGCCAGGCTCGCGAGGCTCGAGTCACTAGTTGACGAAGCCTGCGGACTTTAGGTCCTTGGGTGACTGCGGTCACGGGGGAGCGATGCTGTGTGCGTGCTCCGAGGTGAAGAGTGGTTGAGTGCCACGATTCACGCCGATTCTCAATCGGATAAGATCGCTCCTGCGATCGAGGCAAACCAGCCGTTGGTGCGCCAGAACGGACTTTGTGTCCCAGCGTGACATCCGGTCACGGAAGCTAGGCTTTGTGCGCGCTTCAAAAGTAGGAGTGGCGAATGCCACAATCAAAACCATCTTCAATCGGGTTTTGGATCGCTCCCGCGATCAGGGGATAGTAGGTCTATCAGAGCTAGGGTGTAAGTAGATTATTAAGTGTATATATTTGTTTTGTTTTCTTGTTAATAAATATATTTGTTTATACGAAAGCTCAGTGTCTGTGGTCGCTGTGAGTATCCATGACGTCATAGGAGGCTGCGCTGAGCGCTCGCGCAAGCGGCGTTATGAAGCTCACCAGCAGATGCGCACAGGGCCGGGTGAAGACGCGCGCGACGAGGATGGTGAGTAGGATGAGGAAGGCCGTGCCCGCGGCGCCGGGCGTCACCACGGTGCACATCATCTTCCCGAAGAGGTTGCTGTCCGGCGGCGGTTTCGCCATCGCGTGCAGCGCCACGATACCTCCAGACAGCACCTGCGCTTCGTTTCATTTATCTTCTGTTCGTCATGGATACTCATGGATCAATGAGTGTCAAAAACCCCCTCACATGTACATGACTACACTATGCGCACGATATGTTCAGCTAGTCTTTGTTAGTGGTGTAGCTGGGATGTAAATTGTTATTTTATTAGCAACAGTATAAAATCTGATCGTAGTTCGTTTACTGATGGAAATCAGTTTTCACAGTGCAAAAGTTTCTAGTTTTCGGATGTTGCTAACTTCGCTTTATTACTTATTTTGCTCATCATTCATATACTGTACAAGGGTGGGGAAGGGGTTCTCGAGCTCAAGCAAACGTGCAGAGATTATACAGACCGTGTCAGGGCTCACCAGTAGCATGAAGCGCACTATGAACGTCCGCTGGCAGAAGGTGACCTTGGCCCAGATCTTTGCTGTGCGCAGTCTGCGTTTCCGCTCCCTCCAAAGTTGGCGCCACATGTCGCCCCGACGAGCGCCAGGGTCGCTCTGGTGGGGTCCTCGGCGCGCCCCGCCTCCTAGCGAACGCCCGAAGTAAGCACTGCGCCCCTAGCATCTTGTACGTTTGCGGCGGGTTTGTTGTGAAACAGCTGCCGCTTTTCGCCATGGAAACGATGGGGAACTGAGAAGTTTACACCGGTCGGGGCTTCTTGTATTAGACGGCCACGTTTGCTTGAGCTAGAATGTACTGTGTGTTTATTAATGTGCTCTAACACGCAGAACTCAAAGTGTCGGACACGGATGAGACTTCACCAGCAGATCGTGCGTAATCGAAAACGCATATATTCAAATTCTTCAGTCAGTAAACACGTTATAACTAGAATATTAAGGATTGAAATGTGTCCGTCGGCCGTTAGGCGGGCACGAGCAAGCGGTGGAAGCCGCGGACCGTAGCAACTTTCGACGACGAGTGCGACCTAGATCGTTGGCAGCGAGCTGTCACCCGCAGAAGTTCGAAAAAAGGTTTCGGAGGCTGGGCAACGGATACCAAACCGGGCTTGATATTTATTTACGTATACACTCTCATTATATGATGTATTTTTTAATATTTTGTGTAATCTACAGAAAACTTACTGTAGTACAGTTTGGAATCAATTTATTGTTGGTTTCATATGTAATTAATAAGAAATGCATAATCGAAAACGCAGAGATTTTCCCTTTAGAGGAGTTCACTCAATTCTTTGCCCTTCTCAATCCTTGTTTTTTAGAAATTCTAATAATGAATGCATATCCAAGAAGAGTTGGAAGTGTATTTTCGAGTAATATGTTTATTAGAATATCGACAAAGGACGCCATTGGAATAGCCGTCTGTTTACTTTACAAGTCTTCTAAAACTTTACCTTCTAATTCATATTTTTCAATTAATTTAAAGTAATTATCAACATATCTTTATTTCGTACTATGAAAAGGTTTAAACCAGTTGAAAATACGAGGAGTGTAAAATTGGCATTGAAATAGAATAGATGCGGAGCTCCCAACAGACTCAAATATAAGGGTTAGATCTGATTCTTCGCCAACTAGCCGAAATCTGAGTTTCGCACTTGAACTGGTAAGGTGTTGCTGTGCTTGGTTCTGCGTTGATCTTTCGCCTTGGGAGAAGCGTCCGCTTGCGACCTCGACCTCTCGACTGTGCCCGTCCAACGGCCGGTGACCGCATGAATCTTCGCATTCTTGTTGAAAACTCAAGTACTAATTGTCAAAAGCACATAAAAAGCTGGTTGAATATGTTTTCGATTATGCACTACCTGCTGGTAAAGTCTCATTCAAATTCGAGTGTCCGACATGTGAATGTTGCGTGTTAACTTACGAAGAGCCGAAGCGCCCGTTGAGTCGCAACTAGCTAGGGCGATTCTAGGGCTTTCGCCCCTTTACCAAGGCGCCAGGTATCTTGACAGAAGCATGCTTTGTTAATTTCTTCTAAATTTACTTGAAACATATTTAAATAACTGTAGGTTATATCCCAAATTCGCCTCCATCTTTTGGAGCTTCAAACTTCTTCTTCTTCTTACCGAATCGTGCCCGCAAAAAGGCTAGTGCCTTTCTTCAGCTACGGAAATCTCATCATTTTTCCAACAGTTGAATTATTCACTTTCCTTGAGGGACTGTCGCTTGAGTATGGCAAATGATGTGATCCTTTATTATTTATTGACAACTACTTAGTAATGATGGCAAAATTTCTGACAATCACCCTCTTACGGTGAACTTGCTACAGATAAGGATAGTTGGCTGTCACGTGTAAACATGAGCTTCAAAACTTGATTCTTTCATTGATTCAAGTTATTCTGATATATTCGCTTCGGGATTTAGGTCGTTGGCAGTTGGTTGTGACAAGCTGATTTCACAATGTGTCAGCCAAACGATTTGAAGATGGCGCCTATGCCTTCCCATTCTTTACCGTTCGCTATTTAAGATGCCTCGTGTATGTTTGAGTATGTTTGAGCAATTTTCTTGGGTGTGTTGGGAACATTTACTTTCTATTCGAAATCTATCTAGAAAGGGGACTCTGATCAGTAGATTCTGTCCTATACTATCTGCACTGACGTAACTGTCTGAATTTGAAATAATTCTTATTCTGTACCCAAGATAATGGTGGATGTGTATTGTTCCAAATTCCACTAGACCGCTAGAATTTACACTGTCCGTAGATTTTTTCGCGAAAATCTGATTATAAATAAATGTCCGCTGATAATTTCAAATGCACAAATATCGTAAAATACGAATCATTGTATGAAGCACACGATGTTGACATGAAAAATCGAATGGACATTGATAGAATAGATATTGATATAATGGATGTAGATTATGTTAAAACAGTGAGATGGTATGGTCGTAGCCAAAGGAGGACGGAAAGTCGATGGCCTAAGAAAATTTTTAAAAATGGTTACCTCAAAAAACGGGAAGCGTGGTAAACAACATGGGAAAAGGGCATAGAAAAGGCGGTGAATTAACGATATATTCAGTAGGAAGATTGGTAAGATGAAGGGCGTGGCGACTGGGATGCGAGAAGCGGCGTCAGCTGAAAAGAATCTCGCTAATAATCGTACTACTACAAATCTTTGTGCGGAAAATCTTGTCCAGTGGTTTAGAAAGGAGTCACGAGACACCCACATTTGGACGTTGTGGTAGATTTGTTACCTTGTTGACTATTCAACCATACTTTGTCCTTGGGTGTTAGCTTCAAAGTCTTCTCTTTTCGTCATATCGTGTCACGAACCTAAGTGTATAGATGTTTTCACATTAAAATTACCATTTCCTTCTTCTTTCTGGAGAAATAAAAGTGAGTACTTTGTTAAGGTCTGCCATGCTGGAGGCTTTCGTGTGAGGTCCGAAACGTGCAAGTCTTGCTAGAGTTCACTCTCCAGACGTCTTAATCTCTGAAAGGTTTTTGTACCGTCATGCCAACATTTGTGTTTGGATATAATCCTCGGGTGACGTAGTTAAAAACGTGAGTTGTTTGCAGCATTTATTTGTTGAGAATAGTATTGTAGTATTGACAATTTAAATTACGGAAGACTGATATTTCGTTTTTCATTTTTCCGACTGTTGACAAACGTTATATCTTGAGGACCATTTCAATGAATATAATCAAAAGCACTCAGTTTGTGGGAGAGGTTTCAGCTGGAATGAATATTTACGCAATACTAGTGTATGCCTTACAGTGCATGCATATTTACATCAAAGTGTTTGATAAGAGAGTTAATGCGATGTTTTAATCGCGCCCCGCAACCCCTGCGCTGCACTAGCACCCGTTTGTTCAGTACCTTCCACGTCACCGGAAAAGGAAGATCAGCAAGGAACAAGACAACACCTCATGGATTTTTTTGCACTTTATTAACAAAACACTATTCTCAATAATGTGGAATTACTCTGCCTCACAGGAAAGTTAATTAAAAAGTTTGCCTAACATTTCCGTGCAGGCAGTTGTAAAGTTGTAGTACGATAGAAATGATGATACATTATTACATTACATTATACATACGTTAAAACAAATGTTAAATATTAAACTACATCTCATGAAAAAAATGAGCTTTCTTTCAGTTCATTCGATAATGAAAATGTTTTAATTGTGTATGTGTTATGTTCTTTTATTTCGTATTACGCAGTATGTTATCTTTTAAATAGATTTGTATTTAAAATATTTGTGTTGATTTTGTATATTTAATTCCATTTACCAACATTTAACATAAAAGGTCGAATTACGAGATATTTTTGTTCATTGAAACGGATGAAACAATGTTATGACGTCGACAACCCCATAATTTGCATTATTTAAATATAGTACATACAATTATACCAATGCATTTATTTAAACAATTTGTTTAAAATGTTTGAAGCTTACAGTGTGCGTGAAATATTTTTTAAAATCCAATCACATTAAACAAGAAAAGAAACAAAAAAACAATTGAGCGGACACACATTCCAAAATCATGAATTGCTCCGTAATTCATGAATAAAATTGCGTCTATTTCTGTTAGTGTGAAGACAGACTTTGTAGTTTTACATTTTTGATGGACTTGTATGATGAGTCGAAGAATGAAAGATGTACAAAACAAGTGACGAAAGACAAAGAACGAAGACAAATTCTTCTGTCTGTTGCGATTTCGTCTTCGTGACACGTGCGTCGAAAAAGCGACTGGCTGCAGCAGCTACACTTCCCCCAAGCAGTTTGCGACGTGTGGCGGGCTACTCCTCGCTCTGTGCGAATATGAGGAAGGCGAGGATGGTGTCGATGAGGTAGGTGGCGCCGGCGATGATGGACAGCGACCCCACCGCCAGCCCTATCTGCCGCTCTGACGACACGTGCACGTAGTCGTATTCGGACTGGTAGCCGTGCCAGTAGTGCAGCGCGGTGCCGCCCACTGCGATGAACATGAACGTGCCCACGAAGTTCATCATGATGTCCTGCGCAGAAAAAGAAGGGGTACGTGTCACGGGGACTGACCAACTTTGATCTTGTGTGGGGAAAGCAAAGATCACCATGCATCAGGTATAATCACATAAACATACACCATTTCAAATAAGTATTTGCTTTCTCGTATCTACTTCGTAGAAAGAGAAACTTATGTAAAGCTGCAGAAAAAGATACCTATTTTTCGAGAGAAAAACACGAGACCGAAAAAAGTTGACTTTTCTTGCTCCTCTATGTAATAATAAATTACTTTTTGAATTGATAGGAGTCCGAAATCACACAGTGTGTGAAAAACTGATAATGTACAAACAACGGCGAAGATTCGCGTGTAACAATCGGGGAAAGAAAAATGTCAACGGCGTTCCTAAGCTGGGTAAAAATATTTTCTGGAAAATTGTAAGAAAGTCAAGGGAAAACCCTGAGAGATGCAAAGTAGGTGCGTGATATCGCCTTCATTTTTCACAAGCCTAACTTCCTTTGTGTTCTCTGCGATACTCACGCTGAAAACCACACACCAGAACCAGAGATTCCGATTTCCCCCATTATTTGCAATTACGTCGGTATTTACGGACAGACTCATTCCAACGCGATACAATAACGGCTATTGAGGGGAAAGCTACAGAAAAAAATGTTTGACAAAGCTGAACTGTTTGTCTGGGAGATTATTTATCAAAACATACAGGAAAAATGAAAAATTAAATAAAAAATTACAGAAAAAATGGAAAATTCAGTAATATGTAAAAATATGTTCTTTTGAGTAAAATATGTAAATATATGTACTTTCGGGCAAAATATGTAAAAATATGTACTGAAAGGTCAACGTTTTTGGCACTAACTAATATGAATCATAAAGATATTAATTGAACTTGACAGAGTTTCTTTAGGAAAATATGTTATTACATAATTATCTGGGCCCTACTAATGATAGAAAACATAAATATGTGAACTGACGGAATGAGGGTGAACATTACGACAGCCCTTAGTCGCGACCGACCTCGACAGAAATGCAATGAACTAGCTGTTCGATACCGTGACGCAACAAACGAAGCGAGAAATCGCCCTGCCGCGCGCTCAGCCGACAGCTCTAACGGACCATAGTAGTGCTTCCACACAATTCGTACACGATCCTGCGAGTTGTCCCGCTCGGTATTGCAATGCTCTGCTTTGCTACTGAAGAGCGCAAATGTTGGGCCACATTAACGCTATAAAACTACAGATAACTATTTTTACTACGAGGCACAAAAATCTATCTGTTCATCTTATTTGTGCTATGTTGCCTGATATGTTTCTTATTGCAGTGGCAGATCTTTAGAAATGTCTTCCAATACCTTCATTACCACACGTTTGTAACATTGGAGTCATGTAATAAATGAAAATGTACGGGCGCATATTGATAGCGTATCTCAGACGTAAGAACCTTGTATTGTGTATGTAACTTTCTTATTAACAGTATGGTACGGTACATTAGGGTTTAAAAATCCGGAGAGGTCGCCTCTAGTTAGTGGGAAGTGAGGAGTTGAGGTGACCATTGTACGAGTAGACCGGCTGTTCCGACAAAAATACAGCATCGCTATGAATCATGGAAATGTTATTACGTACCAGTTACATGCAGGATGCAATGAAATTGAAAAATTACAAAAGGATATTTTAGTGAAATATGAATATTTAGTGATTATATGAATATGCTTATGAAGTCAAGACGCTAAAGGAATTGTATATTATCATTGTTATTATTAATATTATTATTGTTGTTATTTTATTTATTCTCGGGAATCGGCCCACCGTGAGCCACGCGATATGTGAATCTCACCGGGACTCAGTCTTCAATATCGGGGATTGTGCACAACATTTTCTATTGGGGGATCAGCATTTTAACAGTTCCACTTTTACACCCTAGGGTAGACAGCCCTGGAGGATGAGGTGACATTGGAATGATGATTATGAATTATGAAATAGACTCACACAAACGCACAGAAACTCACACAACACAACCGTGCCCGAGGCGGAACTTGAACTCACGATCCTTTGATCCGAGACTGTCGTTGCACTTAGCACTGTCTTAGCAATCTCAGCCATCCGATCGGCATTTTATTATTATTATTATTATTATTATTATTATTATTATTATTATTATTATTATTAGGAACACACTGGTGTGTTTTTTACTTTATTAACCGTACTTCGAAAGAAGAAAAAGACGAAAAAGGGGATAAATCTTCTTTCTATTTATAGTAAGTTACTTCCTCTAATGCTTCGTGTAGGCAGAATCCACATGATTCATAAAATTGGTTTACAACAAAACGTCCATAGGTTGGAGAAAATGAACTGTAAACAATGTGTACCTCTGAATTACAGATTTATATACCGCCGTAGTGCATAAGCATTACTACGAAAGTGATTGGAAATATTTAGACTTCGATGTTATAATGAACATGTGTGTTCTCCAAAATAGTTTTATTTTGCTACGCTCTCTCCAATCATTCTAATGAATTTCTCGCAGGGATGTTGTAATGCCAATGTCCCGTCTCTGTGGTTTTTCCCCGGAAATGCTGCTAAGTACCTGTCGCAATGGCATTATCATTGGACGAAAAACGTCGAGTAGTGACCAAAACTTTGAATTCCATAATTTTTCCCTTCTCCAAAACTTTTGTACTTATGGAAATTGAAGCGGTTATTGTTGAAGCCTCGCAAGTCAGGAATCGTAAAGTTGTGGGAAAACAAGAAAACTAAATAATTAAGTACATAGCAAACATTTTTACATTTTTTTAATTTTACATTTTTTTCTGACGCATAAATCTTGATTCAGAATGTTGTGGAGGCATGTAATTCACTTGTATCAGTAGTACAATAGTCGCTGGACTTATTTAAAAGAAAATACTTAAGGAATTTCAAAAACTAATTACAATTATTTTTAAATAAACTTGTAAATAAGTACATATTGCAGGTTCAATTTGTACTTTGACACATTTATTACAGAGTTATGTGTAATTAAAATATGCATATTGTGAAATGTTGTTACATAGTATGAAGGGACGTTTAAGAGAATGGTGGTCTCATATTCATTAAAATACCCTAATTTTTGGAAAATTGCAAAATTTGAAAAGTTTTTCAGAGTTTTCCTACAACTAAAGTATTAAAGATAGAGATTTTCCCTTAATGAAACCTGTTCTTTAAAGATAGGTTTTAAAATAAGATCATGTACAATTTCTCAAAATTTGCGTATTTTTCGCGTAATTTTGCATGAAAATACGGGGAAGAAAGTAGATGCTGTTCTAGCACAACTAGTCTCTTCAAAGTTTCGTGGGAAGTTAAAATTAATAATTACTGAAAAATTGTTGTCCCTCATCCCTCCCCGTGAATCCGCGCCTGTATAAACTCTACTTCTAATTATCAAAAGTGTGCACTACTAGTTATTTTATCGTATCAAAGCTTCCATCCATGCCGCCCGCATGTATCAATAAATAGGTATTTATTGTATATTGTTGGATATTTATAGTATTAATTTCCGGACAAGTCAACTACGTAGGGTTTTAGTGCATGAGTGTAGTTTATATCCCGGGAGCTGGCAGTGTTCTTCTGCCACATTCTGGTCTTCAAGACAACTTGCGGGTTTCCCTCCTCCAGGTTTTCCCCAGAAGCGCACCGCTGCAGTCGTGAACAAGCTCTAATCTCTTGACTGATCTCTCATGTGTGGTTGTGCATATGTGTGTGTGTAAGAGGGAAAAGAATGAAGAAGATTGTTCGCGGCCTAAGTCCCTTTCATTAAGATACTGATCCGGCATTCGCTTGGTATTGATAGGAGAAACCACGATAAACTTTTGATCAGACCATCCGGCCGCTAAAATACTCCTCCAGTCAGTGGTTGAATTCATCCCAGTTATACGTAGCTAGTGTCGAAAATCCGCCACCGTCGGTACTCGAATCCTAGGACTTCCCGGTCAGTGACGCGGCGTTGTCACTGGTGATGTCACTGGGCCATCGCAGTCGGTTCAACCGACCGAGCCTACCCTCCTATTAAACCAGTAAGTTCTTTCAAGGTCACGAACTGGTAGGAAAGGGAGCACTGTCATCCAATCGCGAACTTCGATACGACTTAAATTTTTTATATTGAAGCTCCCGATTGGATGACAGTGTCCCCCTCTCTTGTACACCTCGTGACCTCGAAAGGACTTCCTGGTTTTATCGAAAGCCGATATCGATGGCTTGGCGGCTTGAACAACCGGCAGCGATGGCCGGTTCAACAACAGTTGGCGCAGGCGAGCGCAGACGCATTGCTGGGAGCGCGTACTCACCACGATGGAGCCCTTGTGCTTGGTGCCGCCGCCGAAGCAGTAGGAGAGCATGACGACGATCGTGTAGATGAGGAAGCCCACGAGCACCCCCGACGCCACGATCTCCGCGTCGGGGTTCTTCTCCTCGTTGAGGTTCCACGTGCCGCCCACGCCCAGGAAGCGGCCCTTGTCGCCCACGCGGTACAGAATCAGAATGATCAGGTTCAGGATCTGCGAACACGCGCGTGGGGCCATGTGTAATGGAAACCGACGGAGTGCTTGCCTTACTGGAACTTTTGCACGTCAAAGAGCCGAATTCTTACACTAAATACCAAGTGTCTATTTTAAGCTATCACTTATGGCCTATGGAGTTCTTTAATTACTAGAACAAAGAACTTCGTAGACCCAATTTGTGTGCTAGTTTAAAATGGGTTGTCTCTAATTTACTGTAATTTATGTAGTTTTTTTCTAAAATTCAGATGTTTCAATGAAAATCGGAATTTAGGCATTGAATTAAAATTGAGATCTTAAGCTAAATTAGGCAAAGAAACGCAAATAAATCTGTTAAAGCAACTCTAAAAGTACAATTAACTGACTCCTCTGTTTAAAAGTCATAAAATTGTTAAAAAAAAATAAAAAGAAATACATTTCGCCAAACCTCTAGGCACTACTTATAAGCTTCTAATCAGATTGAGGTAAGCACGATTCACAATTTTGTCGTCACAGAAATCTTCAAAATGGACCACCAATTTCCCTCTATTGCACTTATAGTCGAGAAAAATTAAAAAATGTTCACTCTAGCGATGATGATTTCTATTTTTAGACAATTACATATTTAAGTATTTTCGACGTAGACCCCCGAACTTCATTGTGAGTATATGTCATGATAACGATGACTAGGAATCACGTTTATAGTGCCTTAAAATGTCTGAAAAAACATTAGAACCAAAATAATGAACTTTTGGCCAAGTAAAGATCCGTTCGGCACAGTTGAAGCCAAGGCGAATAGGAAGTGGGGATATGGGAACTCGAAAATCTTTCCCATACAGAATATCTGAATCTTCCCTATGAAAATGAACTAAGTATTGAATTAACATTCCGGAGTACAATGCTTGCACTCGGCATCAAAGGAGAAAGCAATTATTAATGCACATTAAAATATGAACCAGTAACAACAGGAAAATAATTTTTTGCGTATGAAATGATTCTGAGTGAAAAAAATCACAAATGTTTAAACATGTGCAATGTTTTGTAACCTATTTACTCGATTTTTAAATAAAACATTTTGAATAAATATAAAATGTCATACATATTTACGTAATAGGTATTGCAAGACATCTTCTTGTAATACCATATTGAATAATTATCAATTAAGACCTTTAAGTCGAGTTTAATAACCTATCGAATGTTGTATTAAGATCGCCCGATACGAAAAAGGTACAATGTTTTATCCATTTTTCAAGAGTTCCATTGTATTACAATTTTCGTTCATGTTTGACTGTTCATCGTGCGAAAGGTGACATATACCTTTTGTCCTTCTATAATTCCTTTATGATTGCAGTTACATAGGATATGGACTGTTTTTACAAAACTTATCTGAATTTCATTGGATAAAGACATTGTAAGGAGACTAGTTTTCATCCTGAAATCCGCTGTTCGGTGTGAAGCCTTTTCTCTCCCCCATAGCTTTTCTCGGAGGCGCAGGCAATTGAAGAAGCGTTCAACGTCCAGTGTGTTACCAAGTTGCTGTGGTGGTTGACTTCTAATTCCGCCACTTATCAAGTTTGAAGCGTCACCCTGTCCATTATCAGTCACATCTCATATCCAGCCACTCCCCTGATCACACACGGATCTGTTCAGTGGAAGCTCAGGAATAAAGGGGTGACATAGTGACCAAGTCTTCTCCCTCGCCTTGGCTCGGGCCCGACCGTATAACTAAACGCTATATTTCACGCATGTATACTCTAATATCTGTTGTTTTAAGAGCCTAGAAAAGATACCGGTTTTGAACATTTTATATTTTATCTTCGACACAAGTTACGTGTGTCACTTCTGGGGGAGAATTAACCCTCCCCTGTCCTGTTTCAAACAGACTTAACACGAACAATAGAGTTCGCAGATTATTACAGGGGTGCCCAACTTGCATGGCCTCAAAGGCCACAACTAAAACCTTTAATATGGTTGCGGGCCATATTTTCATTAATCGCGAAATCCGCACTTGATCTAGTATTGTCGATCTCGGTAGTTCGCCCGACTGCTCTGAAACAGGGTGGGAGAGGGAGATGGAACTACGCATGATAACAGGCTCTACCATGCATAACGCAGTGAAATAATTTTAAAGTTTTGAATTTACTAAAAAGTCCTTAAATCTTAGCAACTTACTTTTACATTAAGTGGGTGTTGGCTCCGACAGGGCACGTGCGCTAGGCTCAATTTTCTCGCCCGTCATGGATGCAAGAAACATTCACGTTTGTCTAATAACCTTTCGCGGCACACACTAAATACCAGTGCGGGCCGCCACAGCCTTGGATTATGACAACGTTTAAGCCCAGGCCTTCATGCTACCTGCCATACACATACGCTGTGACACATCATGCATGACTGAAGTGATGAGTCGCTCGTAGATAAAATCAGGCGTAGTAAAGTCAGGTTGGCACGAGTTAAGTTGCTTATGGAGTAATCTTCCTAATGATATAATTGTAGACGTATTATTTTTATTAAGGTACTGATACTTTGTACCATGGGTTGTCAGAAATTTTCAGAGTTCAGTACGAAAATATTAGTTTTACGTTTAAAAAAATGAAGCAAAATGTTCGCACTGGTCCAACTAGTAAGATCTCAAAAAGCGAAGAACTATGCACAATTTCGTAAGTATGCAATATAAATTATCTTGTAAATAACTTTTAACCACTTTATCTAAAATCAAACATTATCAAGCAGATAAATTTCATTATAAGATTTCTAATAATTCGTACATTCTTTGAGTAATTAGATCTTATTATAAGTATTATAATAATTCATGACATCCTTTTAAGTAACTTCACAATAAAAGGTCAGATTTAAACGAAAAAGTTAATACAATGAAATGTTATAAAGGGGATAAAAGTTGTACAATATTCTTATCGTAACATCTTTATTGCAATACTAGATTGGTTTCATTATTCTCGACTGAAGGGCGTTGTTTGATATTTCCCCAATCTCATATTTTAATAAGACTTTGTCTAAGGTTACTTATTTCTAAAATAACTAAGATTCTTAATTATTTAAAGTTCTTTAAAATGGTCTATTTTAAAACGTAAAAGAGAACTGCGTGATTATTACTAACATAGACAACATTTCTGACTGTTCCAACGTTCTTGATAGTGAACGTACCACATATTTTTTCTCCGTAACTCTCAGTGGTATGGAAGTCACGAATTTGTAGTCGCAGCTTAATGACTAGATTTCGGAGAATATTTAAAGATTCGATTTCCCGCGTAATATCTTCAACTTCGAGAAATGAGCAACAATTTGGAGCGACATCAGTTAATTTATGAAAGCTAGCAAATAATGTATATCCTACGGTGATTCGTTTCTCGAGAAAAATAACTTTCCTACAGCGACAAATGCTCTCTTTTAATATTAAATTGCCTACGAGTATACACATACACTATTAAATCCTAACTGCACAGTGCTTACGCGCGATGCACACCCGGCGGGACGCGTATGTAGGGTAGCATGTTGTGCTACTAAAAATTCTTCAAAAAATATTTTTGAACTGTGCATCAAAGAGAAACAAATGTCAAGGTATATTTTGTTTGCCTCAAGTTTCAGGAGAGTTAGGACGAGTATCGAATTACCGTTTCAAACTTGAGCATATTTGCCTTCGTCTCTGCCAGACTCCCCCGCCAGTTTTGATGAAAGCGGCGGTATAATGTCTATGTATATAAATGCAGTGTGATTGAATATGATTTGAAATTAGTATAATACATTTTGTTTGAAATTGCTGTTTTTGTTTGATGTGAGGTGGCGACTTAAGAATAATTGTTCATAATTTTACCAATTATGTGGCATAGATCAAGAAGCAGGACAGGATCTACACAAAGGCAGACTAAGCTCGTGGTTAGGGTTCCCGCTGGATAAAGGCCCCCTAATATTTTTTTTAAAAGTGTGAAACTGTTTTTAATAACAGATTTGTAAAATGTGAAATCTGTAGCACTGGAAAATCAATTGTGGTTACAATGGGTTCCTAAAGATGCAGGAATACTTGGAAGTTAAATTTAAAAATTCAAGGCTGACTTCACTAATGATGAAAACACGAATTGAATCATAAAAACACTCCTTTACATTCCGTGATGTTTGAAAACATAATGAGATATCAATGAAAAACAGGTGTAATAACAAGTGGTCCATGATGAAAGCCAGTGACTTTCTAAAAACTAGGAATTTTAGATTAAAAACAAATGTAAATAAAAAAATAGTAACAGTTAGAATTTGAACAGGCTACTGCAAATTCAGTCATACTTAACGATTTAACAAAAGCGCCCCTCCCATTTGTAAATAAGGCAACAACTCCGCTCTACTTAATATGCCCCATATAATTAATTAATCAATAGTATAACGTATAGTAACTACCAAAAAACAACTTTTTCTGTAGAAGGAAGTATTAGAGTTAAATTTAGAATTCCTTGGATACCAAGAAAAAATAAAATTTTGTAAAGAATGGAAAGTCTTTAATAAAATCTAATACTTTCTTTGTACATCTCCAAAGTAGTTTCTTTTTTAAGATCAAGTGTATTTAGTACAAATTGTTATTAATTATTTAAATTTCTTTATTGTTCTCCACTTATTGTTACCTCCAAATGTACCTCTAAATTTTGCTGTTACTGTGTTAAGTTCTTTTACGTTTCTATATATGTAGCGTGTATATTTTATTAATAGATTGTTTTCACTGTTTTAATTTTTTATTAATGAGTTCCCATTATTTTGAACATTGTAGCATTAGGAACATGTTATTCCATATCAATTCTAAACCTGCTTTTACGTATTAGACCATGTGTTCTTAAATTGTATTTCCTGTGAATTCCATCTTTGATATTAATACATTTTACTTAATTTAATAATAATAAAAGAGTACATTTATAGGAAGGGATTATCGACTACTTGAATCTGCAACAGAATTCTGTATGCCCATGTCACCATTTGAACCATAGAGCTTCGTACATGTTATAAACTGAATCAATGTAGGAAGGACATATTCACAGTACTTTGGACAATTGAAAATGTCTTCAGAACATGATTTACTAGGGTTGTGTATTTTATTGGTCTTAAATTACATCTGCTTATCATAAGAATGCTCATTGATTAGATTCCACTTCTATTACTAGTGAAATTTAGTCAAAATTCTGTTCTATTAGGTCTGACTAAACAAACCTATTTGTATTGTCTTCAAGCTGTGACCTGTAGGCATTTCTGGTATCTCTATCGATAGTTGATGGAAAGTGGCTTTCAATTGAAAAAGTCACGAATGAATCACATTCGAATAAATAATTGTATCAATGTTACGATAAAAGATTTTATAACATTTTTTTCTTAACTCATGCTTACTTCTGAAGCGCAAATGAATATGAAAGAAATCAGTCTGAGAAAACATCTGTTGAAATATATTTTTAAACTGAAATGACAACTTGGTTTCAAATTATTAATTTTACTGACAATAATTTGAAATATATTGCATGTTAATGTAATGTTATATTTCCGGTCCTGGATCTTATTGTTATCGTCATTTTAATCAGTAAAATGGTTTAAATTATTTTTTGAAAACGTAATTTCCAGTTTATGAAAACTTTCATTAATTCTAGGTTTTGGGATGAATACACCAAACGGACTCTTTCGTCTAATTAATTGGATACAAATATGTTGAGAAATTTTATTGTCATACTACACATCTTCTGGCTACTGATTTGCGTGCTAAGCAACTATTTTCAAATTGTGACTCGTGCGTGTTCATTTATCATCCATTTCTCGGAAACAACCTTTGATAAAATTGATTTCTTCTTTAAATAGCGCCTGCATATTCCTCCGAATGGTGCGATCAGCAAGGCCAAGGAACATGAAAGGAATTGCGCGATGTGAATGGCTTTCTGGGAACTACTGTTTTGTCGCCTGACTCATTCACTGTCATCGTCCCGCCCTCCGAACGAGGCGGGATGGGTTTGTGCGATAAGAGATAAGTTGACGGCATATCGAAGCTCCACTTGATAGGACCGAAACGCAATCTTTCGGACGAAAGGCTATCTTTTGAATCTTCTTGCGAAAACTTATTTATACGTCTGTATATGAAATAATTTTCATATTCTTTGAAATTGCACAATTACAAGATCTTGAATTATGTAATATTTACGAGTATACACACTGAAACGAACCAAATCTTAACACAGTTTATTATCGTAATAATAATAATAATAATAATAATAATAATAATAATAATAATAATAATGATAAAAACAATAACAATAACGACCACATTGAATGAGCATTGACATGATAGACAAGTGCACGAAATGCGGGATTAGTAGAGAAACAATTGAGTATATATTGACCGGGAAAACGGCTCGAGTTTCAACTACTGAACATCAAACACACTGAATAGTAAATCTCCCCCGTATTACAAGTTCAACCCAACACCCATACTGAAAGAGTGAAATACTATTATTTACTGAGACAGACTCATAATAGATAAAACAGTGGCATTCAGTGAATCAAACGTAGTTAAATTTGATTTTAAAAAAGAAAATCTATGCATTGTCGATATAACTGTGTCATTGACATGAATAAAAATACAGAGACAGAGAATATAATGAACTCCGTGCTCTGGAAATATAACTACTTGTAAACTGCGGCATTGACTATGAACTCTCTTGTTATTTCAGCTGAAGGGATTGTCACAAGAACTTAAGAAGAAATCTGGAGAGAATGAATTTATCTCAACGAGTACTGAATTGTGGACAGGAAGCAGAGATTCTGGAAATTCTCAACTCACGAGGTTCCCATAATCGGACTTTGGGGGACAGAGTGAAGTATCTCCCCATAGTGAAGCACAGTCAACATGTCCCTTCAGTATTAGCTATTGCTAAAAATAGCGTGAAATATTATTATTATTATTATTATTATTATTATTATTATTATTATTATTATTATTATTATTATTATTTATTGTTAATATTAAATCATGTTAGAACTTTATATTGCAGAAATCATTAACCTTAACGTAATTGTAATCAATAGAAGCAGTTTGAACGTGTGTATTTTTTAAATATCACATTCACGCATTAGCATGTTCCGAGAAGATCTTCCGATTTCCCTCATAGCCATTTAATTAATTTCATTACACCAGGGCACTGAGTAATAGGGACCACAATGAAATCTAGCCACGAGCTGTGGTATTAATTTGAACAGGAAAGCCCTATTCAAGTTTCTATTCACTTTAAAAATATATATTTCTAATATTTTCGGGTTAAGTATGGACAAGTGTTTACTCGTATATGTAGAATGCGATACTTTTCTTTCGTTAATCAATCATTATTTTTCAGCAGAAATTAGGCCCACGAATGTAAGGGCTAGGCATACTATTTGAATTCTTTAGAGGGAAATATATTTTGTCATCGTACAGAACGAGGCATTTTCTGTGAAGCACCTATCACACCCACTCTGATTCCTTGTGACATTACCTCTATCAGGTGCGTCACAGCCAACCAGAAATGTCCCGTTGAATCTGGTTCTTATCTCTATCTCTTTGTGTCCTTTTCATCTTGGCTTTCTCTTTCATTTTATATATAACGAACCAAATAAACCACACGTATGGTTTTCATTTGCCTTGTGGGAGTGTTATTTTGAAGGCGATGTATAGTGATTGATTCCGTTACCTCACCTGAGATAATTTGGGAGTCGGTTATCTTGGGAGGACTGGGTCTCAAATGTTACCGATAATTCAAAGAGAATTCTTGAGAGTGCGAGTATGTTTTTTAGGCGTGGGAATTAAATATGAATTATTTAATATTACTTTGCACAAACTGCGAATAGAAAGGATTTGTTCTTTTTTTAATCCATGAAACATATTTTGAGCATGAATATGTTAATAAATTGCAATATTACTTGCGAAAATAGCATTACAAAAGCTAAATATTTCACTGAATATCATTTTTATTCAAAACACTAGTTTGCTTTTGCTGTTATTTTTTTTCTTAGTTTTCTGGAAAGTATGCAATTAGCCATATGTGATCCCCTATACAAACATCCTCGTTGTACACTTATCAAAAGTCTGCTTTCTCTTGTGTGTGTGCTGCTTCTCGGAAATGAAGAACTCCAGCATTATCGCAGTGTGATAAAATATCATTTGTCCATAATCGTATATGAATTTCTGGTCACTTCTCACGTCCTCCCTCTATTCCATTCCTCTAGATTATTCTCTCTCTCCTCTCTTCATCCTCTGTCTCCCTCCCTCCACTCTCCCTCTCTCCGTCTCTCTCTCCCCCTCTCTCCCCCCTTCTCTCTCTCCCTCCCTCCCTCCCTCTCTCCGTACATGATGTACCTTCTTCAACGCACCTTCATTTTCAACCGATTTTTAACATTAAAAAATAAAAAAGTGAAATCAATACAACGGACTACGAACGAAACGGATTAGAGGATTTTGGGGATTAACTCGTAATTCCACTTTGCCCTTTTTGGCATTGAATGCAGGTAAAAGTCATTGTACGATTCCGACAACATTGCATTATAGATCATTGTTATTTTATATACAGTGTAACATCGGCATCTCCAATCTGAAGGGGAAAAGAAAACGTTCCACTTATCGAATGTTTCAATTTATCAAAATAAAAATTAGAGCAATCAAAAGAATTCGAATTTTAAAGTTTTAGTTATTGAAGTTCCACTGTAATAGGATCCCCCCACCCCACCCACAATTCCGTCACTTCGTTGTTTTATTTTTTTATTTATCTTCTTTTACTTTTCTTTCTTTCTTCTCAAAATTAATAGCTTAACTGCTTTTTGTGACAAGTTATCCATTTTAAAATTATACATCATATTCATATTAAATTTTTGAGTACCGTTTATTGTGTACTAAGAAGAACGAATTATGAAAGAAGCTCAGACAAATACGTTGCATGTCACAAGATGTATGAAAACAGGCGATAAAAACTGAAATGCGAAGAAGACGCAAAAGACGAAGAACTAGAGACAAATCGACGAAAAAAGGGAGAACCAGAAACTCAATAAATACCTTTGTAGATATTGCACACGGCACTGATCACTAGACCTAAGCCTTTCAAACTTTGATGATGGTGATGATCACGAGCTCATTACTTGCGCATGATCAAAGCAAAGCTTCCTAAATGCCTTCACTTAAGACTTCAAAACATACAAATCCGGTTCATACAATGATTGCGGTTTTTACATCTGTCCATTCTCAACGAGCCCCGCCCATTGTGGTCACAGAGCCGGGTGTTGTGGTCGTACATTGTCTCACTCATCACTTACCAGCTTAAATATTTTGATGAATACGGTGGCAATTCCTTCTGGTCTGGGCGGCATAGTGGTTGATTGATCAGTGCTTGTTTTGCTAGAAAGAACACTATTGTCTTCTATGAGCGACTGCTTAGGTACTGAAATGAAGTTATCAATAGAGGCGTTTCTCCTACGATAACGATTATCTTTCGGACTTGTGAGTCAGATAACACTCTTGATATCAGTGTTCTGAATAGCCTAATCTACCAATACGATATTTCGTTAGAAGGAGAAGGATGGGAAATACAAAGACCGGAAGGAATGCTGTACTGGAATGTGAAGAACGATGGTAGTATGCGATGTACTGTAATATCAGATGATTATGTATATTCGTAATGGTACTTATACCGATTTTATATTAAACATTACCTTCAAAGCATTATTGCATTTCTCTAATAATAGATAAAGCTGTTCCTTTTACCTTAAATTTGGATTATCGTTTGATCAAAATAAAAATAAAATTGTTGTTAACACTATTTTGTCTGTTCGCTCTCAAATTACCAAGAAAACTTCATCTTCCTGGCTTCCGTCTTGGTGTAGATTCATTTTGGTTGCCTAATTGTCAATGTGTGTCATCGTGGATCCACCAATTCAGGGTGTCCGGGGAGGAAACACCAAAACTTCGAAAATAAGCTCTGAAGCTCAATAATTTTAAGCGTGTTTTGTCTAATAGTACTAAACTAATTGGATATTCCGAATGGCTGAGCCGCAATAAGCACTCAAAAATTGGTTTGAAAAAGTGTTTTCTAGGCAAAAATTTGCATTGCATATAACATAAATTAAAAAACACCCAATTTACACAATTTTGTTTCTTTTTATTTCTGGGTTAATTTTTCTTTCTGAATAAATAGTTTCATATCTTTTGCAAAAAATAAACTATTTACACGTTTCGGGCGTTTTTATATTTCTTCAATGCAAATTTTTGCCTAGAAAGCATTTTTTCAAACCAACTTTTGAGTGTTGATTGCGGCTCAGCCATTCGGAATATCCAAGTAGTTTATAAGACAAAATATTCTTAAAATTATTTTCGACGTTTCCTCCCTGGACATTCTGTATAAGATGGCATACGGCTTTATCTTACAATCCACAAATATTCGTATTATAATTTTACCAGGAAGCCGATTTAAGGAAGATAACAGCTACGCGTCTAAGACTAATCTTTTCGTCAATATTTCAGAATTTCTTCCAAATAACATGTCTGAATTTCCGCAATTTGTCACAACCGTCAAGAACTGAAAGCTGCTCCTGCTACAGTCGACATCCATTGCATACACTACACCCTTCCCCTAGTGAATAGTTATCATTGCAGTGTTTATATTTGTTGTGTACAAATACTGGCTATGCAACCTGACGTGTACGTACAGGCAAATACATTCTGGATCTACAATCTTGTTTCAGTTTTCAATAACACTTGATAATCCACATGAACGTTTTCAACACGTTTTCACAAACTATAAATTTGAGAGCACTGTGGGCAGTTTAAATCTATAACCCTATGACATGGAACACCAGCAGTACCACAAAACATTTAATAATTTTAATTTTTTTCAAAATTATTTATAACTTGTAATATATACAAACATCGTAACTGGGATCAGTTGGTAACTTGTGTTTGGAGGTGGCGCCCAATTTCTAATTGAATTAAATAATTAATCCGTTAGCTGCAAAAGTTAAGCAAACCGGATCGATGAACACATTTGGAGGTGGAGCCAATACAACAGGCAAACAGCCAATACAGATTTATGGTTTCTTACTGTACCTTCGTCGAAGATTAGTTCCGTTCTTCTGTAAAGAGTTGCTATTCATTAATATTTGCTTTGCATTTATTACTTGATATAGATAAAAGTATTCAGGCATTTGCATAAATATAAAATAAATTATTTACGTAAATCTAAAATACAACCCATTAACACCATCAAGTTCTTGAAAATCAAGTTTAATATCAAAATGCAATAATATGATCTTCGATTCATTGAATCCGGGCGCGTCAACTGCTAAGATCATTAGGCCCGTTAGTGTAGTGCATTTACCCCCTCGGGATGTGACAGGGATCTTCCCCCTCAGGAAGGCGAGACCCGGCGCCGGCCTGCCATTTGCCAGCGGGGCATACTGTCATCCGTCTATCCGTCAGACAGTCCGTCGTCTGTCCGTCCGTCTATCCGTCCGTCTATCCGTCAGACAGTCCGTCGTCTGTCCGTCCGTCTGTCCATCCGTCTGTCCATCCGTCTGACCGTCCGTCCGTGGACAACACTTACGCCAAAACCGTTCGTAAGATTTTATCCAAAAGGAATTAAAAGTAAAAAAATGTCAAACGGTATGGTAGCACACAAGACCCTGCGATTTTGAAAGTGATCGTGTAATTTTTGAGGGTACTTACAAGAAGCCCACTAGGACATTTTCAAAATTTTCTATATCTCTTTATGAATTTTGCTATATCTCTTTATTAATAAAATCAATCATTGTGGAGAAATTCAATTTAATTTTGACATCGGATATAGTGAACCTGTGATGTAGTGAACCAAAACTATTAGTCCCCAAAAGTTAACTATAACCGGAGTCGACTGTACATTAGCAGTACGAACTGAAAATTACTATATTTTTATTTGGCCTTTAAAAAATCAATACTTTTCAATTGCTTGATTCGTACATTTTTCATTACTAATTTCGCGCAATATGATGCAGTCTGGGCGTCTCGCGAGACAATCCCGAGACCGAGGGTGGAAATAGATTTTACATGGTCGGGAAAATGTTCAAAGTTGCGTCCAGAAGATGGCCTCTCCATACCTTTGAAACATACTGGTCTTGACAGGCATAAATTGCTGGGTGATTTATAGAATGATGACCGGCCAGAACATATCTCGTGGTTTTCTGTTGCGACTTGAGCAAATTAGTTTTGTAGTTTTTTTTGTAGTAATTTTTCCAAGGAGATATACTGTTCTTCCCACAGAAATTCCTGATTCTTTTTTAGTTCGTACTAAAAGACGGCGAAGTCAATTTTTTCTTCTTCATTTATCGTCTATTTCTACTAATAAGGCTTTTTTCTTTTTAATGTAATTTTTAATCCATTTTTCATTTATTTCATCGATTTTAATATCATTTGAATGATACTTCACTACAACCGGAGTCGTCTGTATTAAGAAAATAATGTATCTTTTCTCCCTTATATAATATTTTCCTGCTTATATGCAACTTCAGATGCGGATCAATGACTTAAATGCAGATAGAAGAAATACTTAAGGATATTGTGTTTTATTTAAAACAAATATTGTTGAAAATAAATGTGAATAGAAAGTAATTTTCATTAATGTTGCATTTAATTTATTTTTCGTATTTGAAGTAATGTTACAGATTTCAAAGAAGAGCAAATTTCATGTTATCTGTATGATTAAAACAACTAAAAGTATATATTTTGTACTTTCTATTCTAGGAATTGGGTCTCTCCGTCACTGATGGACAAATCAAAGAAATGGAAGAAAATATTTACAACATAGATTTCAAGGAAGCAATAGATGAAGAAAAATTAACACGTCATGATGTAATGGCACATGTTCATGTATTTGGAAAGTGTTGCCCTCAAGCTGCTGGGATCATTCACCTTGGTGCCACATCTTGCTATGTTGGGGACAATACTGTATGTAATTTTTTTTGGATCCATTAATTATTTTATAATAATTATTGTTGAAAGGAATTTTTAATATGTATATTATAAATGTATAGGATATTTTGAATGTAAAGTTAATAATTTTAGATTATTTCTTTTCACAATACATGAAACAAATACTTTAATGCAGAAAACCAAGCTCAAAACCAATTTCTTGCTACTGTTAGATGCATTCTTAATTCCCTAACACCTTTATTAAATTCTTTGTGATATAAAATCAATGTTAAGTTGATTTTAGAAGAGGATCCAAAAGGGTATATGGCGATTTATTTACCTTAGCACTTAATATATCAGCGCTTTATTTTGTCAATTATAGGATTTGATTATTCTTCGTGATGGATTTGATATTCTACTTCCCAAATTAGCTGGTTGCATTGACAGACTTGCAAAATTTGCACTGCAGAACAAGGATCTTCCAACTTTAGGATTTACTCACTTACAGTAAGTAGTGCAGGAGAAGCATAGGTGTGCTACTCTTTGTTATGAATCAATGATATGTTCATTCTAGCTCTATACACATCTTTAATTCATGCTTAAAAATGCTTTTGTGTTAGTCTGATAAACTATTTTCATCAATAGAGAGACAATTTTGCAAATTGTATTATGTAGGTAAGTGCCTTAATTTATGACTTAAATAGTAAATTTATTTACTGCACATAAAAATTATAAAATGCCTTGAATTTCTTTACTTTGTTCTGTCCAATTACAAATATAACAATAAAAACTCGTGCAAAACATTAATATCTTTCACCACACATTTTTATACAGAATAAACCCATTAGTTCTAGTGAAACCATGAAAAATTGCAAATTGAAAGTTAATCTGATCACTAACAATATTTGTAAATCAATATTTTCATTCCTTCTATTAACTTTTCTGTAATCAACCTTTTATATGCATTTGAATCTGAAATGGGGGAAATATGCACTTTTTAACAAATTTTGTTTCTCATTTGTATTTTATTTTTTACATTAATATTATGGGTCATATTTTGCCCCAACTCTTGTACGTGATTTGATTATTCATTGATTTCAAGGAATGAATATTTTAATTTTTTAGGCCTGCCCAATTAACAACTGTAGGCAAGCGAGCGTGCCTGTGGCTACAAGATCTGCTAATGGATGAACGAGCTCTATCCAGAACAAGGGATGAATTAAGGTTTCGGGGTGTGAAAGGAACTACTGGAACCCAGGCTTCATTTTTACAGCTCTTTAATGGTGAGAACTTTCAAATTTTTGAAAGATATTATGTTTCCAACCATGTAGAAAATAAAACATTCACACTAGACAAGAAATAAAGAGATATATGTGAAGGAATTTGAACAACTTTTTGCGTACCTTTTCTTTCTGTAACCAACCTACTCTTACAGAGGCTTGAGAAGAATTCACTTGTAAAATCAGTCCCTGAAAGAAACTCATTCTCAATTATGTTTTTAAAATTTGTTAATAATAATTGCGCGTTTTCTGTCTTTTAAACTTTCATTGGCAATATTTCCATTACTTTTTATCACATTTTAATTTGTTTCTTTTCATTTATGCTATTGATCAGAATTATTTAAAATTTGTTTCAGGTGATGGAGAAAAAGTAAAGAAGTTGGACCAATTAGTGACCCAAAAGGCTGGTTTCCACCAGTCATTTGTTATATGTGGACAAACATACACAAGGAAAGTGGATGTGGAGTGCATTGGAGTTCTCAGCAGTCTGGGAGCCTCAGTTCACAAGGTACATCCATTATTCCTTTGCAAATGTTTCTTGCCTAAAGAGCAGAAACAGTAATAACTTTTCAAAAAAGATGGATGATTTTTTTTCAGTTAGTATACTTCCTCTTTCAACTTAACAATAACAGAAGATGGATTTTTTTTCTTTAAAACACCAATTGAACAATTTGATTATTCCAATTGAACAAAGTTAATCTGCAGTGTTTTGTCAGTGGTGACATAATTTGAAATTAACTTGTATATATTGCGATAGGCATGGTTTATTTTTCTATTCTCTCGAACTTCTCTGCTCAGGAGAATTAATAAGTTGTAGGTAGGAGAAGCATTATTTGGGCAACCAGCTGAGAATATTAACACACATTTCTGATCATTTATGAACATGTCTGAGATAGATTGGAATTTCTTTGCTTCCTCCTCCTCCTCTCTTCTTCCTCTCCTCCACTCTTCTCCTCCTTCCCCCTTCCTCTCCTCCACCTCCTCTCCCCCTCTTCTCCTCCTCCTCTCCCCTTCTTCTCCTCCTCCTTTCCCCCTCTTCTTCCTCCTCCTCTCCCCCTCAATTTTCTTCTCCTCCCCCTCATTTTCTCTCTCCCCCTCATTTCCTCTCCTTCCCACTCTCCTTCCTCTCCTCTCCTCCTCTCCTCCTCCTCCTCTCCTCCTCTCCTTCCTCTCCTCCTTCCTCCTCCTCCTCACCTCATTCCTCTCCTCCTACCACCTCTTCTTCTCCTCCTCTTCCTCTCCTCCTCCATATCTCCTTCCACTTCTTTCCTCTCCTCCTCCATCTCCTCCACCTCTTCCTCTCCTCCTCCTCCTCCTCTCCTCTTTCTCTCCTCTTCCCCTCCTCCTCCTGCTTCCTCCTCCTCCTTCCCTCCTCTTTCCTCCTCCTCCTCCTCTTCCTCCTCCTCCTCTTCCTCCTCCCCTCCTCCTCCTCCTCCCTCCTCGCTCCCTCCTCCTCCTCCTCCTCCTCCTCCTCCTCCTCCTCCGCCTCCCCAGCCTCTACCCTACTGGACGAATTCGAAAGTGGTTCCACTTGATTTTTTTTCTCACACCTTACTCTGTTTCTGGAATCTCCGTTGCCCATCCCGGTTAACTGAATATTATCAATATAATTCGTAAATTGCAGCTTTCTTAATGTTTTATCATTCTTTCAGATTTGTTCTGATATTCGAATTTTAGCAAATATGAAAGAAATTGAAGAACCTTTTGAGAAGACACAAATTGGTTCAAGTGCAATGCCTTACAAAAGAAATCCAATGCGTAGTGAAAGATGCTGTTCCATTGCCAGACATTTGATGTCACTAACAAACAATACTCTTCAAACAGCAGCCACTCAGTGGATGGAACGTACCTTGGATGATTCTGCAAACAGGTAAAAAAGTGGTTTCTGAAACAGTACATACTTTCTCATATCCCTTTCATTATTAGTAATAGTTAAGAAAACAAACATTCCCGAGGGAAGAAAGAAAAAATCCGAAATTTCTGAATTCAAAATTGAATTAATTCCTCATTATTAGTAGCAAAGAGAAAGTAGGTTTTATAATGCTGCGAAAAACCTGTGAATTTTAGGTAGAAAAACTTATTGTGTGGTCCTGGTAACAAAAATGATAAATCTTGATCCTATATGTAGTAAATTACTTTTTCTAACACGTTAAGAAGTCAGAATCTCTTTGGGCATCCTCGATACCAAAAAATTGATTGACATAAAATGTCTGTCCATCTGTGGTCAGCTAAACTGTTCAATTTTCTCTAAAATTGATATTCCGCCCATCAATATGAACAAACTCAATGCCTTGCGAGTATGAAACGGATATTTTGATTTTTTGCAGTACATTTCAAAATTTTATCAAATACGGTAATGTGTAAATAACTATTTTAAAAATGAGTCATGTGTCATTTTCGATAAAGTACCTGATTTTTCAATATTACAAAAGTTAAAAATTTTCAGTGTATTCCTACAACTACAGTAATAAAGATACATATTTTTTTGAAAATGAAATTTGTTGTTCAAAAATTTATTTTGAAATAAGATCAGGTACACGTTTTCAAAAATTTGCGTTTTTTCCATAACTTTGTGTGAAATATAGGTCATCAAAATTTTAACAATTATTTTCTCAAAAATACCACTTCAGCTTCACGCCTCTCTGACTTTCTGTCTCCTACTTACTGCATTTTCTGAATTTTTTCCTCTCTTCATCTTTCTTCTTTTGCTGGGTTTCTGACTCTTCTTCTTCCCTACCATTCTTTCTTCCTTTCCTACTTTCTATCTCCTTCCCTACCATTTTACCTATCCGTACTGCTATCAGAAGTGAAAAGCAACAAAATATTCTAGTTGTTTTCCACAATAATTTTTATAGACAAATATTTGCAATGAGATGCTTTTTAGATATCTCACATTTGATACAAAGTCCATTTAATTTAACTGACTTGGCTTAATCTATTTGTTCCTTTCCAGGAGAGTTACTTTGGCTGAAGCTTTCTTGGCTGCAGATAGTGTTCTGCTTACTCTTCAGAATATATGTGAAGGAATTGTGGTTTATCCGAAAGTGATTGAAAGACACATTTCCCAAGAATTACCATTTATGTGTGCTGAAAATATCATCATGGCTATGGTGAAGGCAGGAGGAGATCGTCAGGTATATGACGTAAAGTGTTTGAAAATTTATTGATAATATCTCCAGAGTCTCTAATGGCAGAAATAATAAGGCAAATAATTTGACACCAAAAATATTGTAAATATTTCAAAAAATTGTTTAAAAATTTTAATGTCAATCTCTACTTATAAAGATATGCAAGGGACTGCTTGTGCTATATTTTTGGTTTTGAAATGTGATGAATGTGTGTATATTTTTATTTTAGGAATGTCATGAGAGGATACGAGTCCTCTCCCATGAAGCTGGTGCTGAAGTGAAGCAGAAAGGATTAGATAATGATCTTGTTGAGCGAATCAGGAAGTCGTCTTACTTTGCACCAATCTTACCTCTTTTAAATAATCTTCTGGATGCAAAGACCTTCATAGGCCGCGCTCCTGAGCAAGTTAGTATATTTTTCTTTGAATTCATGTTGTGTATATTTCAGTGCTTACATTGAAAATATATTTTTTCAGATATTCTTTTTGTCTAATTTACATATATTATTGTGAATAATTTCACATTAGTGTTCATTTTTATTAGAAAAAAAGGATGGTTTAATCATAACTGAAATGTTTTCTCAAGTATATCTAAATTTTTTTAGGTATTTGCTAATTTAAGAATTGTTGATATTAAATAGTTACACTATAAGTTATGACAATTTCTTACCAATAATCTCTTCAATAAAAATAATTTTTTTGAGCATTGTTTTAAAGAGTGTTTGACATGTCAATTTGCTCTAGCTTTTTTTTTATAATAATTTCTGTATACCATAACATAGATATTACATTACATTAGATTGATTAATTTAGTCAAAATACAGTAAAAACTGTGTGACATATGGGGGAGAAGATCATCTGCACGTTCTCTTGAGTTCCAGAATCTCTTCCCATTATTTTAACTATAAATAGTTGAAAGATGAGTAAAAGTTAAAGATAAATAAAAATTAAATATAAAAAAAGCGGGAGATTAGCAACATTTAAAAAACTAGACATTTTCGTTCCTGAGTTATAGAAAACTTATTTGCAATGGTAAACCAACAGCAGGTTTGATTTTTCTGCATTGCTAACAAAATAGTAACTCACTCTTACCTCTACTCCTGTCACTACAAGAAAAAAGAGAGTTCATCAAAACGTGCACATAGTGAAGTTGCATTTACGTCCTAAAGCAAAACAAGGGGCCATCTCAGCATATGCTCAATGTATCAGGGAAACTGAACAAAAACCTGATCGAGATGGTTGTCATTGACTGGGAAGCTGAAGTATATTATTTGTTACAAGCATATTAAGTCTTTTTACAAAATTTATACAATACAAATGTAAACTGATTAATTATATATCACTATTTTGTTAAAATAAACATTTTTCTTGATGATGAGTATAGTCTCTAATTGTATAGAAACAGTAATGCAACAGCAAAGATTTTACTTTTAACTTAAATTTGTGTTCTGACTTAAATTGTTTAATGTCATCTGGCAATGCATTGTAAAGTAAAGTAAAGTAAAGTGTGTGTTGTAATTATAAATATCAGTATTGCATGAAAATATGTTCCCACAGTTAAATAAGTCGGTTTTGACAAATATTACAGATTCGTAAATAAATAGGCAAGGCATTGTAAGATTCCAGGTTCAATGAAGATAGGCTTCACACAGGGATCACACTGATGGTATTTTTTCATTATTTGAATAACTTTCACTTTGAACACATTATTCCTCAAGTACAAATATTTACACTCTTACACTTTTATATGCAGCCAAAATATATTTAGAATTTAATTGTGAGATTGTTCTTATTACAGATAGGCCTAAATTATGATTTATTAAATAATATTATTATATTTGTCAAAAAATATAATGTGTTCTTTTTCTTTGGTATTACTCTGTATTCTTAAACAGTGCATCAGGAAAGTCTCTCCGCACCAGGCCAAATCAGAGTCACATAAAAAAATTGCATTTATGTTGGTAGCTAATAGATAACTGGGAATCAAGTGTGGGAGACAATATAACCAACATCTTTTATGATTATGGTGCGCGCCAGATTTAAGTATTACGGTGTCATACAATTGTGCCCTCCCACCCTAAAAAAAAACTCCATCATT